TTTTTTTTTTTTTTTTTTTTTTTTTTGAATAGAGCCTGTAGGAAAAATTATTAATGTGGGTTAGAGGGGTTTGAGTTACTAGTTTGGTCAAGAAAGTTCAATAACTTTTAGATTGAAAGACGATAGTTTTTCCCTTTTAAGCTTTGTTTCTAGTTCAATAGAGACGAGGTGGATAATCGGCCCTTTAGTTTTAAGGAAAGAAATTAATTGGTGGTTTATCCATCAAGTTAGCTAGAAATGGTAGATTTGAGAGAGATGATTTGATTATTTGTATGATTATATGGTTCTACTCCTTTTAACATATTTGGTTTCAAGGCATTAATAGGTGACTACTACAGAATTCTCTGCAACGTTTTGAATATCGACACAGCTCGGTTTCGGTGTTGCTTCACTCTCCTTCTCTCTTTTTGTTGGTATGTACAATGTAAAAGTTTGGACTGTAATTCCTTAATGTGGCTGTAATGAATCAATAACCTTCTTTCTTTTTGTTGGTATGATTTATAGTGGCTCAATACTTGTTTAATTGGATTTTTTTTTCCTCGTAAAAATGGTGAGAATTTCTTCAATTTCGTTATTTTTTTCTTAGAATATCAATGAATATAACAACTCAAATTAAAGGTGTATTTCCTGTTTTGTTTTTATTTCATTAGATTTAAGATATTTAGGCTCGTTGGTCCTTTTGAATATTGTCAAAAATAGAATGATTTTAGTATGTTAATTAATTATTGGATAAATTTTGGGATTCACGTTTTTATAGGCAGTTTGTCATTTATTTTTCTTAATTTAACTTTAGATAAAATTCTTGATTAGTATTTATAAGGGTAAAAGAAAAAGGAATATGTTCTTAAATCATTTTTAAACTTAATTCTCAGGAAGAATAATACCATATTCACACTAAACTTGGTTTTAGGAATATGGGAACAATGTTTCATTTATTTTAGTATGCTTTTACATTAAAACTTATCCTTAGGCTTTATTTTTATTATTATTACTTGAATCATAAATTTTGAGGTATACTGTTGTCCATTGCGATATTAATAAATAAAAAATAAATAGAAGAATAATACCATGTCATAACATCAACCCAACCAATTAGGGGTGACATGGCTCGACTTGGATTGGTTTTGGTTGAGAGATTTTGGTTGGATTGATAATCTAACCCTAACCCAAAAAATTTTCATAACCCAACAAACTCGAACTTCTTTTTTTTAGTTGGGTTGTCTAGTTACAAAAAAAAAAAAAAAAAAAATTAAAATTTTTTATTTATCCACACTTCATAATTATTCGTTACAACTTTAGATTAAAGATATTAAAAATTCACAAATAAACACAAATCAATATATAATCATTCGAACAATAAACAATAAATTCAGCCAAAAATTGTAACATTCTAACATAGTAAAAATTGTAACATTCTAACATGGTAAACAATAAATTCATCGATCACAACAAGCCAAAAAGTGTAATATTCTAACACGGTTCAACATTGTCATAAAACTAAAGACAATTAAATACCAATACTTTATAGAACTAAAGACAATTAAATACCAATGCTTTATAGAACTAAAGACAATTAAATATCAATACTTCTTCAGAATTGATTTGAGAAATATAAAAATCAAATCAAAATGATGATAAAGAAAATTACTAAAAAATATTTGATTTAGACTTATTTACACATTATTTATACATCCAATTTCGAAGGACAGGGCCTATGAGAAGAAAAACAAATATAAAACTACACAAGGAATTTAGACAATTTTTATAAAACTTGTAATCAATGATCCTTTCACAATTTCAGGCCATGACACCAACAATTAAAGGTTGTTTTTAATTTATTTTAACGAGAGAAAAAAATCTCTCCGATTTGATCAAACATGTTTCTTTGCTTCCTCATGAAGCTTACAAATATCTGGCATTTTCCAAGTTGTAAAATCTACGGTATTTAATATCTAACCAAAAATCCCTGAGAGGGGGCATCAGTTGAGATAACAGTACAAGTAAGAAAGATTCATCAACTAAACTGACTCAAATAATCTGTAAACGATAATATAAATGGAGCAAAAAAGAAAGTTATAAGCCCAACAAAGTAGGGGGGAAGGAAAGGTCCCACTCTATTTGATATTAATGTCTCCCACAGGCTTGGTGAGTTTGTGATCAAGAACAGCTTTGTCGAGTGTGTTCCTCACATGCTGGCACACCGCCATCAAGTTCTGACACGCATCTTTCAAAACCTCTCTTGCTGGATCACCTGCCATGTTCAGTTCAGTTCAATCAACATTCAAAACCCAGTTCTTCCATCACTACCACAAATAGTAATAAGCCCTGATCCTAATGTTAATGCTTAATGCATGGTCACTTCAACAAATAGTTTGCTGTTGCACCACCATTTACATGTGATTTTGTCTTTCCCCATTATTTAGCTTTTGCTAGTTTCAAACAGAGCATTGGACATTGTTTTCCCACCTCCAATTTTGGCGAAGCACCATACATTCTGGATACCATCTATCTAGGCCTCAAAAACATCTATCTAGGGTCTGAGTCAACTTGCATTCGCCTCAACTGATCTTATAGGACAACCACCTAACCCCACTACCTTTGGTTGCTAAGGAAACTCGTAGGATGTTAAAATCTACGTAGGTGGCTACTTATATTTCGATAGTCGTATCTATTTGGTCTTTAGATTTGAAAAAGTTTTGATTATGCCATTAAAGCTTTGAGTTACAATTCATTCTAAATAGTCATGCCTATCAACATTTCTAACTAAGTAACAATGTGGCAAGCCCTATTAGATAAATCTTGGTTGATTTGACACATTGTAGATAGAACTTGACAATTAAACAAAATAAAATGTATATTATTCTTTTTTAAACAACTTACTAAACACTGTCTAGTATTCACTTCTACTATTTTTCATGGCACGTCGAATCAACTAATGTATGTTTAATAGGGCATTGTCACACCGTATAGTTATTAGTGTTTGATGTATGAACTACATAGAATTTTTTTCAAAATTTGGACAAAACATTGAAACTTGAAACTAAATGCACTCCATCCAAAGTTCTAAGTACTAAAACATATTCTTTATAAACCATATTAATAAAAAGAAAACAGGCAACATGTGTCGATTTTATGGAAAGATTTTTCTCCCTAGGTCGCACTCTGCATATATCCAGACTATTTATGTCATGAATGCATAAATTGCATGAGTGTAGAAAGAAGAAACCAAGCAAAATAAACAAATTTAATTATCAGAAAACTGTCCTAAATAATTGGAACTGATCTGTACTTTTCCAGAATCAGAATACCACAAAAAACTTACCTGTTGTTTGGACCCTGATGTTAACTCGATTATCTGAAGGATGAGGGATGCTGTACCCACAGAATGTCACTCTTGGACTGCAAGATCATGTTATGAGTCATTTAAAAGTATAACGGATATGATTTACTTAAAAAATAACAATATAAATAACTCTTCTGAAAGGAAAAATAACAAACAATCTAAACCAGGTTTGTTTAAGAAAAAACAAACAACTGTCGAGAGGATCGCTTGAACAGGTGAAGAAAGATGACAACAATATAAACAACTCTTCTGAATGAACGATGAAAGAACCTATATAAACACATGCAATGGGTGTACACAATTCATCAATTTATGCTCGATGAGTTAACCAAGAACCTAATTGATCCTTGATGTCATCAAATTAGTAGAAGTCAATGATCTTTGGAAAAATGATGAAATGGTTAGATAAGATCAGTGGCCCAAGAACTACAAATTCTTTGGCACGTCTTGTTAACCGTTTAAATATTCACTCAAGAATAACTGGAAAAGAGCTCGTACTCTTGATTCAAAGTGTATCTGATGGAATTTGCAAGTGTGTGATCTTCATCAGCCATAGAAAATGTTGATTTACTCTCATCCGTGAAGGACCCGTGTTCCATGGCTATAAAGAAAAATTAGGTCAGAGTCTCAATTTAAAATCAAATACACTAAATCAAAGAAAATAACATAAGTAAACTAAAAGTCTACGAAACCCATAAAAAATTGACAATATAGAATAAAAGGGCTAAAATTATCCAAAACCAACAAAGCCAAGACGTTAAGAATTCTCTTCCACCAACTCCAAAGAAATGAAATTTCAATCTTTGAAAGTTTTATTATTAGTTTTGTTCCGATATCGACAAGTATCGGGACTAGCTTGCATGCACCTCTACCAATCTTATCAAACAACTATTTGACCCTACAATATTTAGTTTAATCTTCGAGAGCCAACACAAGTGCAGGCACATGGCATTAGCTAGACGACTTTCGTGATTATTGACTACCCTTTTCAAGGCATCATTCTTCACACATCTTGCTCTAATCTATACTATAGATATAAACGTGACTATAGGAAAGAAACTCTCTCCCGGACTTGCCCTTTTCATTTTTTCTTCCTTTAAATTGTTCTTTCTTATGTTTTTCATTTATTTATCATTCTATAAAATGGTGTTCTATAAAATGAATTGTATACCTTTTGTCTATTGTTTTTTATTAAATAAGATAAAAATTATGAATTTATTGTGTTCTACCCATAATTATTAAGGTGAGTTAACTGAAACAGATAAAATCCTATTAGACTTGTCAAACTATTTAACTTCATGATTCTCTCTATCTCTATATATAAAAATTTCAAAGGCGAAGAACATAGCAAGGGACATAAGAAGGTAAAGTTACAAATAATGAGTGAAGGAGCAACAGCAAGGAAAATTAGAGATTAGAAAGAGCAATGGAGTACAATGACTACTGATTTTTGTTTATAATTTTGGTGCAAACTAATTTGGTAAATTAATGTAGTTAACCAATTAGAATTTGTTCGGTCAATCATTCAAGCTATGAATTAAAGGAGAATTAGGTGACTGATTCACTGAATCAGTCACAGCCAACACAAAAACTACGTCTCACCTTGCCGCAAGGCTATTCTTCTCCAAACTAATTTGGTAAATTAATGTAGTTAACCAATTAGAATTTGTTCGGTCAATCATTCAAGCTATGAATTAAAGGAGAATTAGGTGA